TATATATATATATATGCATATTTAAAATTGTTAAAATTTCAAATGCTTAATATAAGTAATTATACTAAATTTTTATATATAAATATATTATGAATAGGTAAAAAAAAATAATTACAGCAAATAAAAATTTGCTGCACGGATCTTATCTGTTAAGATAAGACTTATCTCCTAGTAACTAAAGAAATTAATGCATAGTTATATTTTAACTAAGTTTAAAATAAATAAATAAATAAAAATAAAAAGGTAACCATTACAAATTTTGCTATAAATAGGTCATGGGATGAGGGAACATTGAACTAAAAAAATTTGAGAAGAGAAAAAGAGAGAGTTTACGCCGAGAAAGAATATTGAGAAGGAAGAGAAGAAAAAAAAAAGAGAGAGAGAAAGGAAAAAAGAAATATACAATTTTAGAGTACTTCCAAGTCATATCATTTTTCTACTAAGGTAAAGGAGATGAGACTTTTATCCCTTTTAAATTTTATATACTATTATGTTTATTTATTTTATGTGTATTTACTTAGTGAGGTATCTCTAACCTCATTTACTTGTTTTATCTAAGATACTTTTTACTCGTAATAATTAATGAGATATTCTTAGTTTATATTATTTAATTATTTTACTGTCATTCACTAAATTAATATTTTATAATACATTTCATTTTTGTAAACTATATTATATTAAATTTTAAATAATTAAAAATACTCAAACTATGCTGTTTATAAATAATTCTATACATTGAACTATTTGTATTTATTGGATATTTGTTCTCACTCCTTATTTTTTTTTTGTTAAAAAATGAATTAATTATTATACAAAATAGATGGATTTACCTACGATTCTAGGCCTTTTTTAATTTCCTTTAGTAATATCAGGAGTATTTTCTGGAACAAGTTGGAGTGTGGATGCAGTTGCTAACTCGGTTACTTTCCACGGTATGGCATTGCCAACTTTTACATTTTCTTTGACCCAATAAATTCCTACGATTATTGATGGTCCTATAGTAGTTACCTTCTACCTACCTCCAACCAACCATGTTAACCTTATAGTAAACTTATATCAACTTAATATGTAATTTTTTTTTTGGTGAATAAAGGGTCCAAAGGCCCAAAAATAAATCAACAAGCGTCCGCCATATCAGCGGTTAATAAAGGAAGAATGAAACTAGGAGGTGAATCATATACAACAAGATTCTCCTCTAATAAAGGGTGGTGTTTGGCTAATAAATCTGCCACTAGATTGGCCTCTCTACCAATATGCATGTATGAAACTGTCTCACAAGAAGCTGCTAACTCAGATATTTGTTGCACCAAGTAAGAACAATCCCTTTGACGGGGACATCCATTCTTTAACAGTGTGATTGCTTCCAGTGAATCAGACTCTATTAAAATGTGTGAACCCAAACTTCTAAGATGGATTAATCTAAGTCCTTGTAAGATAGCCCACAACTCAGCTTTTAAGACAGAGCAGTGGTCTAGTTTCCTTGAATATGCTAGAATGCACCTACCATTTGAATCCCGGACTAAACCGCCACAAGAACTTGTTCCCGCGTTTGACACAGCACCATCACCATTTAGCTTGATATACCCTGAGGGAGGACCATTCGAGTTCCTTAGTTTGTTTGTGACCCCTGTCTGGTCCCCTGCATCAAAAGGAGAGTTACTGTTGACTATAGAGTTTGCACGATTCATGACAATAGATATTAATTGATTTGTCGATGAGAAAGAATGTTGAAACACGGCTTTATTTCTTCTCTGCCATAATGCGTCAATTGTGATTGCAAAGGTAAGGGGCCAGTTCATCCCTCCTCCTAAACTTCTTCTTGTCAGGTGGAACAACAACCACTCCTGAATATTAATGTCTAAGGGATGATAGATGTATATTCTGCCAGGCATTGTGGTCCATACTTGTTTGGCCGAGATGGAATCTCGTAGGGCATGCATGGTGTCCTCCGAGTCCAGCATGCAGATGGGGCACGACAGATTAGTCACTAAGCCTCTTTCGTAACATGTATCATTAGTCATGA